AATCGAAAGGTTTATACGAGAAAGGACCAAGAATCAGGAATCCACTACATTTAATTTCTTCAAGACAGCGTCCAAACCCACGCATCCTGAAGAGTAATGGAGTTTGGGGGATAAACAGAACGTCAATTTCTTGTCACACCAATAATAGTAGCCAGATCTTTCACCCTTTGTCTTGTTCTATTTTCCAAACTTGAAAAAAAAACACATTTCAGAAAGAAGAAACAAGTCCAGGAAATCATAGGATCTGCTATATTCCATTATACGAAGGGCAATACTCAAAATGTTTTCTAAAAACAATCAGAAATTGGACAAAAATGTTTCGGACATATGTTTTCATAAAAAGAAAATATTTAAATGAAACCCTTAAGACTAAATCACTGAAAAGTGTTGTTTCTCTCCGAGCACCGAAGACATTATTTTTTGAACAGCCCTCGTACATGTAACATCTGTCGAGGTGAGTTTTATATATATTTTTTTATGATACATGCATATATTTTTCTTCAATAAGAAAAATGTAATATACATCTTAACGAGAGTTTCATTCAAATATTTTTAAGTGTTATTCCTGTGTGTCAATCGCAATGTTTTGATATTTATTCAAAATGAAGTTTTAAAAAAAACAACATTTTAAAGCAAGAGATATCTTCAGTTTTAGTGAGAGGTAAATAAAATGTACCGTTTAACATACTGTAAACAATTAAAAGTATCTTTATATGAAGTACTGTAAACAATTGAATGTGCCTTTTCTTATTAAGAGACAGATTATGACTTAAGATAACCCAAGGCACCTTGCTTATGTAACTTTGTCACTCTGCCCTAGCTAACACTCATCTAAGCTGTAGGTATAAAAACATGAATTACATACCGGTATATCAACGCGTCTTGTATACTTTATATCATTTATACATGTGTCATAGAAAAAAATCTATACCTGCGTTATAATCCCTTCTTAAAAGTGAATGTATTGAGATTTAATTCTTGCAGTAAATTTGAAATATATCTATTCAGTCGATTCAAAAACACGCATACATTCGTATTATTTATGCTGATCTATTATTTTAGCTAACTGATTTAAAATTAACAGGTATAATTAAATAATGTTAAATAAGGTAAATTTAGGTAGATGTAACATTGAGATTACAAATCAAATGTTAATATATTTTATAGAGCATATTTACTGTATATATTAATTGAAAACATTTACTTAAATATACCTTATTTTTGTGATCATGTATCATATCCATGAATATATTTTTTATATTGACAACCTATGAATAAGTAAAGCTAGAGGAAAATATCATGAAGAATATAAAAGCGGCAATCAAAGGCAAATAGTTTTAAAGACTTACAATTTTTCCCGTAAGTGTCAGTCCAGTCTGAACAGTAATTTTCTATACATTTTTTGTGTTTTTACGTATCACTTTCAGTCGACGACAAGGCTTGGCTCGTCATCATGTTTCTACTCAATCAGAATACGGAAACGAAAAAAACATGTAACATGCTTGTTCCTAATAATCATTTTGTTCATTGAGTGTACCGTATAGTACTTTAACATGTCTGTGATAAATAAATACCCAGATAAACTTAAAACCTTAAGGAGGCTAGGGGGTCAACAAATTATATTTTTTTATTAACCACCAAATATAACTTATTCTTTTAGATATGATATCTAAAAAAAAATTCCTAAATTTTAGTTTTAAAATTTGATCATTTTATTATATCTTTCAATTAAATATGACTACGGAATGTTTCGTGTACCTCATCAAAACTTAGGTTCACAGCTCAGTGACCCTGAGTGTCGTCTCCATATGAGTGAAAATTTTTCGAGACGGACGTTAAACTATATACAGCGAATCAGTCAAAATGGTAATAAAAAGTTTTTTTTTGAAAGTGTAGCTGAGTGCAATTCTGGGTAGAGGGGGGGGTTCTCCATGTAATTTTGCATTACGATTACTTGTGTTATTATTATCCGTTGGGTGTTAAAAAGAATCTAAGAAATCATCATTCCATCTTTAAAAGTTCAACAGGAACTTTATTGATTTTTTTAAAAAGAGTACTTGTACCTTTTGGCCTAATCTAAATTTAGTTTATTATCCATTTACAGTGTTTATTTTAGTTGTTTTTTGTCCCTTTTTTAGGTCTCTGCCTGCACCAGATATCTCGTTGAAAAGGTGCCAAAATTAATATATTTGGGGACGCTTCGGACTAAGAAACCTTTCTGCCTGTCGTGCATGTCGTATATGTGTCCCCAAAGACTCTGACAGGTGCAGTAGAAAATGACTAAAACTGTAAAATATTCGGGTGCATTGTAAGTCCAGGTTCCTAAAATTGATAGTCTTTGGGTTTTTAAGAAATGCCAATACCTTCCAAAACGTTTATAAGTTTATTATCTTAAAAAGAACATAATTTGTACATTTTTCGTGAAAATAATTATCGATGACTTATCCTTGCACTGTCAGTAGAAATATATCAGGGCTATGAATAAGAGGGATTCTATGATCAAATTGAAAGATTTTAATTCTGGTAAAAAAGTCGCTGCAAAGTTTATCATTAAATCAAAGTTATGATTATCTCGAATACAATATTGTTTACATACATGTTTTGCTTACTTTTGAATAAAAAAAACACAACTTGAATCATATCCCGTTGTCATCGCTTTCTTCACAAATATTTTCGGGATAGGAAATTTGTTCTAGGTGTAACTCACATACGACAGCGCTTTTGTACCTTTTTACGTGTTGTTATTTATTTTATAACTTATAAGAACACAATTTTTTGGGTAGGCCAGGGGGCTCCTACCCCTTTTCTAAACAGAGTGCCCCTTCTGGATCCGCCATTGATGTCTATGCAAGGAATAGAACCTGGATGATATATGTCTTAGGCAATTTCTCAAGTAACTAAAGTAAAGAGACCATAGTTAAATATTGGATCCATCATACACAATATAATATGAAAAGCAAGAATATCTTGAATGGTATCTGCGTAATTACTGATAAAATAAAATGTGGGAGATAAAATAAAAAAAAAAATCTTGGGTATTTACAAATTATTAAGCTGCTGATAACGTACCCGAAAAATTGCTTTGCAACCCCGTTACAAAAGGTGTAGTCACGTAACCTTATTATGAAAGGTGTACCCGATTCACATAAAGGGTCCCTTTGCTCTACACTAAACAAAACTACTAAGATTCACTCTAATAAATGTACTTATTTAAAACACTAACTGAAAGAATAGCATGATATTTTAAAATTAATATATTACATTAACCTTATTAACAATGATTGAAAGAAAATCAATTATCATCGACGTAACCAGTGTTCCATTACGAAGCTGAAAAACAATAAATCTATACTTTGCAGCACGTGTTTTGTGACAGTTCTCAATTTTTAATTTAAAAAAATTGGTTTAACTGGTTACTTACTTTTACTCACTTTTATTTAAGTGTTTATTGTCCTTGATATTACTTTTAAGAATTAACAACCAGTATAAAAACCCATTTTAACGCATTTTTCTATAGGTTGCAGGTCATTTTTATCGAGAACTTATCACAATTTTAATGCTTTGGACAAAGAACTACGAACGATAGTATTGTTCTCCCGCCTACCTCTAAGTGAATTCTCGAAAGTTAACATATTCGAATGATTTTCAAAAATTTTATAAATATTTATATGAATTTTCATAAAACGTTACTTATTTGGGATACCAAAGAGAGATAACTCTATATTTTTGGTAAAACTTGTGTTTTTCACTTATGAAATCAACGGAGAACGGAAAATATTTTTAAAACATCTTGACCCCCCGTGAAACAAAAATTCCTATTTAAAGGTAATATGGACTGTCATTTTACAAAATTTCTTCCAAAGCTTTTAGTGTTTCACGGGTGGGGGGACACATATGTTTATAGACAAAAACGAAAAAATGCTGATATTTCACCAATTTTAAAACTATTTACAACTAAATAATTGTATTTTATTAATTTATATATGTTATGTATTATTTATTTGCGTAAAACAGAAGAAAAAATATAAGATACATTTTATCATATTAAAGACTATTTCAAAATATGGTCATTCTTGAAAGTTCGATTTCACTAGAAAATATCGTCTACCCCCCTTTTTTCAAGAGCTAGAATTAATGATGATTTACTATCTAGCGCTGGAATTAAAATGATTAATTAATTACCATAAAACTGTTCTTTGTATTAAACAAAGATTTAATGACCAAATTGCCATTCACATTGAATCTAATGGGTGCAAAATGTAGGCGGGAATCAAGAGTTAGAGTTCGTAGTTCTTTAACCAAGCCGGAAGTTATGTGGATCTTCGTCTGAGGCCAATGTTTCGCGTCACAAACAGGTTAATACATTGTTACATTGTCCTGAAACAATTTTAGAAACATTAAAACAAACAACTTCAATGGTAAAAACATGATAAGAAATTGGTGCTCTTGGCAGTCTAATATTATCACAAACAGATTGAATCATCCGTAAAGCGGTATACATACTTGCTAAACGCCCAAGGATGTTGACCAAAAGGCATCTGCGTGATGATACACTGCCAAATCCCCGAATCTTAATCAAATTGAGCATATGTGGGATCTTTATAAGAAATGTCATCAAAGTCCCCCCCTCCCCCCTTCACACAATTAACGGTTTAGAAAGATCCATGCATTAGGTGTGGCAGCAACTGGGTCAATCTCGTATTCAGCGGTACATGGTATCCATCGGAAAATGTTTTCTTGCAGTAATTATAGCGAGTGGTGGTCTTACTCCATAGAAATTATTTTATGCAAATTTTTATTTTGATGGTACATCATGTCCTTGACACTTTGCTTAAAATTTTAACGAGATATTTACATGAAATTTACTATATCTTATTCATTTTAAAGTTGTGTGTTTCCTAAAGTTTCCAAAAGTAAACGTTCAATGAAATTTTAAATAAAAGACTTTGGACTTTTCATACAGGTCTCTGAAAATGATAAACATTTTGTTGTGATGATTTTAGGGGGGCAGATCACGTGATTTTGGGGTAGGTTTATATAAAGTCGCATACTCGACAGAAAATCATATTTCGTTACAAACTCTGATATCTTTGGGGGTTGTAGAGAAATTGGAGCCAGTATATGAACATTTTGTTTTGTTAAATTGTCTCCATACTGCCACTTTATCAAAGGAGATACTTTTCACGTCATGAATTTAGGAGCTCTTGTCTGGGCGATTCTGTTGGGCGTCCTTATTACTCAGATTGACGCAAGGTAGGATCTAGATTAGAATCACAGCCTAAAATTTTGTTGCCTTTTTGTATATCTTTCTCTTTGTACCTTATCTTATTTTTATCTAGAATTTCAGATTCATTTAAGAGACCTAACTTCTAATTTCTTTGATTGTCCTTACATATCATGTACAGAAGATTTATCCATGTATATAGAAAGTTGCCTATCCGTTCAAATGGCAAATTGGAAAAAAAGTTTTAAATACAATTTAATATAAGTATTTAAATACTCAATTCAAAGAGATAGGGTGATTTCGAAAATCTTAAATGTTCATAAGGCAATTTTTAAAAAAAAATCTGAACAAGAAATAACCAATGGTTAAACATATGATGATGAGGTTTAAAACTTGTACCTAAATCGTATCTCGTTTTCCGAAGAAATTAGATAGAACGAAACATTTGCACTAGATATTCGTTTTTTAATTCATGCTTTAACCCCCCCCCCCCTTCAATACCCTGCAGACTCGCACTTTAACGCATATACCGTTTTCTATTTCTAATGCATAATCACGAATATACATTTTCCCAACATTTTTCACGCATTTTAAATAGTACATTTAATCTTCAATTTAATTTCAAGTTCCTTCTACTTAGTATTTTATTACTGCTAATGTCTCATAAAATAAAAACAATATTTTCTTTTTAAACTATTACGTCATTATATTATAAATGTAGAAATAGTAATTCATAAAATGAAGGATATGGAGATAACAAACAGCATTTAATATCAAAGTCCATAAAACAATACAAAATAGGAGTAGATCAAACACGGACCTCCAAAACATCAGAGGTGGGACCAGTTGCCATGGAGGAGTAAGCATCCCCTACTGACCGGTCACATCCGCCGTGTGCTCCTTGACATGATCAGGAAAACACGGAAACATCCGTCGTCAATTCAGTGTATATATAATGAACTAACAATTGGTATGAAAAACGTCAGTCAACATTTGACTCAATGATAAATTGTATTTGCTGACGAGGTCATTGTATCGACCATAGAACTTACAAAATGACGACTCGATATAGAGACTGCTGATATTCTTGTTTCATCAACTTGTTTGTATATAATTTACCTCGTTTTAGAAATTGTTCTTACTTATAATTAGAGCATGCTCTTGCATATCGGATCAACTGAGATATATATACTCCTTGATGAAGGTGTATTGCTGCAAAAGTACGGGAACGGACGATAGAAATGTTTAAGTCATCACATTTATGATAAAGCTTGGAAGTTAGAAAAAGTATGCATACTTTTGAGCTACAATGTAGTATAACAAGATAATTTAAACCAGTAGTTCTTGTCTAAAAGTAACAAAATCATGAAATGATAAAACCTGATAAGGAAAAAAAAAAGTCATTTTATAGCTTTTGAGAAGAATCAAAATAGTTATCTTATTTCATTGCGTAGTTGTACTTGATAAATCAGTTTCATAACATAAATGATAAATAATGCTAATAATATATATTTCTATGGATAATGAAGCCAAAAATGTTATACTGGACACTCATGCGACAGGCCTACATGTAGGTTCAGGTGTCAAATAAAAAAAAAACTATTTTTGGATTTGCAAGAACGTTTGTTTAGAACCTTGTTGTTCATACAAAGCACTCTCTCTAATCGTTTGCATCTTATCTGAATCCCGGAAGCTGAAGAAAACTAAAACTGAGAAGTCCGCATAAAGGTATTTGATTTGAGACAAATAGGGGAGAAAGGCAAAGCACGATAATGGTAATAAAAAAAAAGGAAAGGAGAGTTTTTTTTAGGTAATTATTTTCAATTATTGAATTTTATTTCAAATTGAGTTTGGAGATAGCTTTTGCCTTCGGCTTTTATATGTTGCGCTCATTACGCAATTGATCCCACGCCTGATGCTTTGGAGGTACATGATTGTTCTGCTCCTAATTTGTATTGTTTACAGAAATTTTGAGCCTGATTGTTCGAAAAGTTCTTTGACTTCTGTCATGTATTTTTTATCAAACGTCATATTTTATCTAGAATGAAAATTCAAATGATCTTTATTTAACTTTTTTTAGAAGTATCATGATTTATTTTAAACCTATCAAGAATTAAAAACTGCAAAAATTGGATGGGGGTGCAAGTCAAAATTAGTATTTTGTAAATAATACACTAAATAATCATGATAATGTTTTATTCACATTCTCTTAGAAATTACGCAAAAAGCAAAAAATTCATTGAGAACTGATACATTAATTCATATTCCAGGTAAATGCTTTTATAGTTTGCTTCGTTGAAAAGAAATCAATTTGAGAAGAGAGATTATTCAAAACGACAAAAACGATGACGTTGTAGAACGTCACAGAGCAGCAGATAACGATGCAATTCTGGGTATACTCGTAAAAATCCTAAATAAACTCTCAAAATGTTAACAGAATCCAAAAAGATGTCACAAGTAGGTCGTGCATGTGTATAAAAAGTGCAGACGGTATTTGAGTGACAGGGACTCTGTATCGAACGAGGACAATCTGTGAAGAAACGGTTTATCTGGTAAAATCTGTACCAAAGCTTTAAAAAAAATTGGGACGACATTGGAAGACATGGGCGCTTCAGAGTTTCTGATCCCGTAAAAGCACAGTTGTTAAAACGTAGATAAAGGAAATTATACAAGAAAAACCGTTACAAAAAATGAATGCTATTCGATAGTTAAAGGTTTTTTAATAAGTGGTTATTAGACTATACTGTGTTAAATGTGTGATATATTTTTGAGAAATTCTTAACGTTATTTTTTTTACGTACATTGACGTTAAGGGTGCCTTATGGTTACAAAACGTTGACCTTAAAATGAACTAAACTTCACAAATCAATAAAACAATTATTCGGTCACATGATAATGAGCTTATTTTAAATTTCTTGAAAGTAGTATAACTAAGATTGATATCGTCCACGAATTTTTCGAAAAACCCTCGTACGTTATTTCAGTATCTCTTATGTTTGAATTTTGTGTTGTTCTTGATCACGTTGCTATACAGAGGTTTCGTGAATATTAACAAATAATTATGGAAAGGTGTCAAACATTAACACATATGAAATATTAATATTTTGCACCCTTCTGAATTGCTAGTTGTGTGTGTGTGTGTGTGTTTTTTTTTTTTTTTGGTCATCAAATTTAAAAATACCTGAATGAATTTATCTAAAGAAATTTATCTTTGTTTCTATCTATGGACCTGATAAACTCCATTCCAATTGACTTTATTTTTTGTAGTTTTTAAGACGGGATTTAAGATCTTAGATTTTTTTGTACCTTTTAAAATGAAAATTTCAAATCATGTAAGGATTTTTTCTGTATCAAAATCAACTCAAAAGTTATTCAAACAATATACCTTTTGTTATGGTTTAATTAGAATAAAAATATATAAATGAAAATTAAATGCTTACTTTTCGTACATCGATAAAACATAATCTTAAGATGTACTTCTACGGATAAAACGAAATTATAAATGTAACTGAACACTCGATCAACAGGTTTCAATAAATTTAAAATGTTTCCAAATCTTAAAAATAAAATTCAGAACAAAAAGTATACACTGAAATGTACAGCGCTGTTACATTGCAGAATGTCATAATGACGCAAAATGTAATAAACTGAGATAAAAGTTACATTTTGTATTATTACATATTCTTTCATTACATATCAAAGCGAAATACATTATGAAATACAAAATGTATAAACAATTTCATATTGAGTACAATTTGAATTTATCTAGACGCAATTTTTAAAAGCAATGGAAAATGTAATCATCTTAATTAATTGCATTTTACGGCGTTAAGCATACAGTTTGCGTTTTAACCCTCCACTTTTTGTGTAGGTACCAGACGACATAATAAAGATTGGACAAAATTCACGGGGGGAATAAACAAGCAACGTTTCTACAAGTACGAGTTATACCCATATAAGTTGTTTTAGGGGGTAATCTTTGCTTAAATTAGAGTATATATAATTTCGAAGTGTTATCGATGATGCATATATTTTCTAAATAATAACCTTCAGTTTACAATTTGTTTGTGTTTATTGTCAGGGCACATCGACTAAAAAGGCAATGTAAGTAGTCAAACAATTTCTGTTTTGGTTTTAATGTGGAAACAACAAATATGTAGCATCCTTAAGTTCTTGAAATTAAAATACATTTTTATTTTTTACAAGCTTGTCTTATTTTTTTCTGTATGCAGTTGGTGGCTTTGGTGGCGAAGATTCAAACCCTTTCGGTTCCGGAAGTGAGTATCCTTATTTTTCTTTAAATTTAATTCTCATGATAGGCTGTTTATCTTAGAATAGGTATTATGTAATATTTCAACAAATTTACGCCGCTATACATTTAGATTAATTAGAATGACATTTTCAAGTTTAAGATTGTTTTTGTATGGTTATTATGTTTATTTTTTATATTTACTCATAGGAAAGAATTTAAAATTCGTTTTTGATGATTTGATATAAAAAAGTGTAAAATTCCTCATATTAAAGGGGAATTTTAAGACAATATCATTTTAACTCAAGAGTAACAAGCATGTAGCGCAACTTACACATGTACTAATGCATGTTTACTCAATTCCAAAGATTATGTTGCGTTCAACGTAGGAGTTGCTGTACTCGATCTATGGTACTTACCATGTATTCGTGTATATGAAAAGTGTTAACGTATAAAAGAGATAAAGCATTGGTTATATACCACATGTACGTGATAATTAAAAATAGAGAGAGAGTTGGATTCAGATTTGGGGGGGGGGGGTGCTTTTTATGTTACATAAAAAAATCTGTGTGTTTAAAGGTTCTTGGACACAGATTTGAAGATAATATTTTCTATATATTTAGACTTATAAATTTTAATAGCATTTCACACAAAAATTAATTAAAAATCTTATTTCATTTAAAAGTTATTAAAACTTCAAATTTTTTGGCGGATTTGATTGACACATCCTTGCACTTTCACAAATTTTATTTTTTTTCTTATTACTTAGATAATGTTGCAATCTTGCTGTGTACATGTATTAATAAGAAATATTAAGATTTATTAATTTTTGTGTGAAATGCTATTAAAATATATAATTCCTGGTATTATACAAAAAATATTAACTTCAATCTGTGTCCAAGTACCTTTAATATGCATTTTAATTATTTTTTAAATCATTAAAAACTGTATTTTTCAATGTTTTAAAGCAATATGTATTTTAAGTACATTAGAAAGGTTGACAGTGTAATATTTGTTCTTCTTTTAACACTATCTTTAAGGTGCACTAGAAGGGGTCTCATCACGACAGCTCTATATTAATATATATTTTGTATACAGTTCATATACAAAAATACCGTAATCTCATGTGCCAAAAGGAGAAACACTTGCTGTGGCCTTTCGACATTTAGATATATCGTCGACGTATTGTCAATTAGCAATCGCAATTTCCATTCTTATGTCGATACAATATCCTAGTGAGCTTCAAATAAAAAAAAACTCAGAGTATTGCACATCTGTTTCATATTTGGATACTGTATACAGGGAAATTTTCGCCCCCGTTTTATTTTCGCCCCTTTCGCCCTACCCTCATTTGCGCGAATTTAAAACGGGGCGAAATAAAATAATATGGTATAATTTTTTTGATAAAACTCTGATTGGGCGAATTTTAAACGGGGCAAAATTGTTTGCAAGTGAGAAAGGGCGAAAATTAAATGGGGCGAAAATATCCCTGTATACAGTATTTTACTTGAAAAAAGACGTTAATGGTAATCTAACAACCAAACTCTATGATAAACATGATGATTTTAACTTTTCTATCGTCAACTTCCCTTACTTAAGCAGTGATATACCTTCATCACCTGCATACGGAGTTTATATATCTCAATTGATCCGATACGCAAGAGTAAGCTCTACGTATGAACAATTTCTACCTTTCGCACGAATGATGTAACACTGTGAGTTATTAATAACTAGAAAAAGCGGCATTTTTTTCTGTCTCTTGCATCAAGATTATTTCACTCCTATCATTATGTTCCCCAAACGGAGTTTGGGAACATATTGTTTTTACTCTGTTTCTTATTATTATGTTCCCCAAACGAAGTTGGGGAACATATTGTTTTTACTCTGTTTCTTATTATTATTATTATTATTATTATTATTATTATTCTTTTTTCTTCTTATTTCTTCTCCGGTACTTTTTTGTCCGGAAGTGTTCTCAGAAACTGTTCACCAAACTAAGTTAAAACCTTTTTAGGGTTAGTAGGCATGTTGTGTAGATGTGCCGAACGAAGGTCATTTTGCGCGCATTCGCATGCACGTGCGGGCGCGTGCAATGAGTAAAATGACTGATATATTTAATATGGTTGTAACTTTTATATTTTTTGATAAAATGTTTTGAAACTCATTATATAAACATATATAAGGTGTGTAGATAAGATGACATGGTCAAATTTGAATGAACTCACGCGCATGCACGTGCGCTTTGCTCTGATTGGCTGGAACAGAAATCTCAATATCTTTTTTGTTTTATGATGAAATGCTTTAAAATTTATAACATAGACATACATTAGGATATGCTACAATACGATATATAAAATTTTTCATGAAATCACGCGCATGCACTTGCGCTGCAATCTGATTGGCTGAAATTTTAAATGAGTATAACTCCCTTGGTTTTCAACCAAATAGCATGGGATTTAGAATATAGATAGACATAAAGGACTCCTACAGGATGGTATGGTCACCATTCACATGCATGCACGTGCGTGCACGTGCGCTTTGCTCTGATTGGCTGAAACAAAAATCTCAATATCTTTTCTGTTTTTTTATAAAATGCTTTGAAATTTAAAACTTAAGCATACTTTAAGATGTCCTACAATATTGTATATAATAATTGTCATGAAAATACGCGCATGCACGTGCGCTGCAATCTGATTGGCTTAAACTTTAAATGGCTATAACTCCCTTGTTTTTCAACCAAACAGGATGAGATTAAGAACATAGACAGACATAATGGACTCCTACAAGAAGATATGGTCATCATGCACGTGCGTGCACGTGCAAATGAGTAAAATAGTGTAGACAAGATGATATCGTCATTACGCTCATGCAATCACATGCGCACGCCTGCATTGCTTAAATTTGAAATACTTGGTATACTTTTGAGAAAACGTTGTTTACGTCTTAAATGCATAGATTTTGCCTTCTTTAATGAAACTTACAGGGAATATGGCACGAGAAGGGAGTTGGGGAGCGTTTGGGGAACATCTGTAACGGTTCCCGTTACAATTAGCACTAGTTATTATTATTATTATTTTTTTTTTCTTATTTCTTCTCCTGTACTTTTTTTGTCCGCGAGTGTTCTCAGAAACTGTTCACCCAACTGAGCTAAAACCTTTTTAGGGTTAATAGGTGTGTAGTGTAGGTGTGCGGAACGAAGGTCATTTTGCGCGCATACGCACGCACGTGCGTGCGCGTGAAATGAGTGAATTGACTGATATACTTAAAATAGCTATTACTTTTACATTTTTTGATGAAATGATTTGAAACTCATTATATAAAGATATATTAATACTATTGATAATGTGACACTGTCAAATTAGCACGAACTCACGCGCATGCACGTGCGCTTCGCTCTGATTGGCTAAAACAAAAATCTCAGTATCTTCTCTGTTTTTTGATGAAATGCTTTGAAATTCAAAATATAGTCATGAATTAGGATATCCTACAATATGATATAGAAAAAATTTCATGAAATCACGCGCATGCACGTGTGCTGCAATCTGATTGGCTGACACTTTAATTGAATATATCGCCTTTGTTTTTTGTCGAAATGCTTTGAAATTTAAAACATAGTCATACATTAGGATGCCCTGCAATATGATATACAAAAAATTTCCAGAAATTACGCGCATGCACGTGTGCTGCGATCTGATTGGCTGAAACTTTAAATGACTATATCTCCTTTGTTTTTTGACGAAATGCTTTGAAATTTAAAACATAGTCATACATTAGGATGCCCTGCAATATGATATACAAAAAATTTCAAGAAATTACGCGCATGCACGTGTGCTGCGATCTGATTGGCTGAAACTTTAAATGACTATATCTCCTTTGTTTTTTGACGAAATGCTTTGAAATTTAAAACATAATCATTCATTAGGATATCCTACAATGCCATATAGAAAAATGATCATGAAATCACGCGCATGCACGTGTGCTGCAATCTGATTGGCTGACACTTGAAATGGCTATAACTCCCTTGTTTTTCAACCAAACAGGATGGGATTCAGAACATAAATAAATATAAGGGACTCCTACAAGAAGGTATGGTCATCATGCACGTGCACGCACGTGCGTGCATTTGGAACGAATGAAATTAGAAATACACTTGAATGAGTGATTTTTAATAATTTTGGACTGAATGCTTTCACAAATAGTATATTACAGGGAATATGGAACTAAAAGGGAGTTGGGGAGCGTTTGGGGAACATCTGTAACGGTTCCCGTTACAATTAGCACTAGTTAACCATATATCCTACACTGATATTTTGATCACCTTTGATGTTTCGTACATATTAAGGACAGAAGAATGAATCCAATATATCCAGCAATATCTTTTTCAAATGACATGGTTTAAAAATATTAATGGGTAAATAATCAAAGCGTAAAAGAAATCAAATCCTTCCACATAACGCGTAATAGATTTAATATTGTCCTTGAGCTTGAGATGTTCTTAAGTATAGTGTAAGATCTTTTCTTTTTTCTTTTCCATTGTTCCTTTCTTTAAACGAATTTAATCAGTCATTACATTAACATTTTAAATTGTAAGAAGCGTGTGCGATACCTTTGCCAGGTCTTGTCCAAAATTTTGTGCTCGCAATACTAAAAATGTAGTCAGTTAAAAAGTGAACAACATTCGATTAAGTATAAAGCCAAATTCGATTACTGCATACGTTTTTTACTAAAAAAAAACTTCACTAGTGGAAATGAAAAAAAAAGTTTTAAAGCCAAATACGAGTATGTCATCTTATTACTAACTGAATCTTTTACGCAGCCTTCAGTTACTAAAAAGTGGAAAAGTTAAAATCTTCAAATTATCTATTTGTATACTTATAATAATAACACTTGTTTTCTATTAACGCATTATTCATTATAAATCTTTATATTTACATAACAGCATTAACTTAGTAGTGACGATCCTACGTTTGTTTCTTTTCCTGTTTTGTATTGATCGTACCACAGAATTTCAGAAATCCTGATTGATAT